GGGCATCTTCAATAAGAAAGGGAGTTTCTCTTGTTATGTTGCTATAAGTGCATCCCTGATTAAAGAGGGAAGGGCATTGGGCCACAGTATAGAGAAGCCCCAGCAATATTGAATTGGAAACTTATATCGGTACAATATTGTGTGAGTTGCAGTTTCCTTGATTTGTTATAAAATTGATATAGCTTTGGGCAACTGCAAGGTTATTTTGAAATCTCATTTTATCTAGCCTTTGTTTTATCAGATCTCAGGGTTGAAAGGAAATCAGGAGACATATATAAACCTATCCTGGCCCTTTGTGGACACTACAGGCCTTGATGGTTACTGGTTTGGAGGGTTTTAAGACATTGCTTTAAAATCCAGGCCCCAAACAATATCAAGATAAGTGTGGATATTACAGCCAGTAGTTGTCTATATAATATAACTATCAACTCTCCCAACAAACATTCATCTCTTTCTAGTCAGTAGGATCCAATCAGGATCTCAAAGTAGGAGTAGGATCTCAAAGTATGTTTGGAGATAAATTCCACCAGAGTCGATGGAACTAATCTTCAAATAAAAGTGCATTTTGATTTTAAGCAATATTGATTGCAATCATTCAGTGTGCAGCAGAGGAATATGTTATATCTTTGGATCATATCAGCAGTAAGCCTTTGTTTGTGTATGTCTCTTTCTCTGTGTGTCTTTGAACTTCAGAATTCCGATAGGTGATGCTTAAAAAAGGATTCTGTTAGAAGAACCATCTCTGCAGGTCCTGGAATGACTGCAAGATGCAGATCTAATTGTTCTGGTCTTTTGAAATCTGGTGCCACGTGAATTGTTATTTTGGGACAATTTCTTACAGGTCTGGGGCCTAGTAAAAAAAAGAGAACAAAAGAGACCGTCCTTAATGGATGTACTGAATATTTATTTTAGAATAAGTAAAAGAATTCACCAGTGCACAAAAATGTTGGTTACTAGCCAATGTAATGGAAGACATGCTTATTTTTATTTTTATCCTATATAGAATACAGAAGCTTGAAATAAAAAGAAATGCAATAATATGCCTCTCAAAAATCTGTAGATATTTATGGTAATATACCTAGCTTGTGCAGAAATAATACGTTTATTGGTAACTCTGGTAACTTCCAAGACACTTGGAGCTTAAAACAAAGAAGAACTCAGCCAAATGTCACTACCTCTTATATATTGCTTTCCATTAAAAGTAGATTATTCTGAATTAGCTAGGGAGTTCAAATGTGACAGAAATGTCACTTTATTGCCTGGGTTTTCACCGAGCAGCCTGGAAAACAGTATAAGTTGGTTAACTGAGTTTTTTTTAATTGCATCTACAGCATGGAACGTGCCATTGTGACCAGAGGTGGTATATATCAAGGGAAGTTCTAATTGCATTTTAACAATAAGAATGTATATACCTTTGCTTTTACTGCCTTTTAAAAACACCATTGGCTATGCATGGTTGCAGATGATTTTTTCTATTGTAGCCACCACTTGTTAATTTACCTTGGTCTGCATTTTCCAGATGGGGTAATTTTGTTAATCTTGTTATAGTGAATACATCATTTACCTACAACTAGTGACCCTTGATAGAGTATTAGATTTGTTTTGGCGCATAGCTAAAATCTTGTTTTCAGAGGCTGTATGTGCCAGAAAGTGGTGATTGGATCACAATGCAGTGAAGAATATTTTCCACCTTTCTGTTCGGCTTTGGGGTTTCCAAAGAAATAGAGTTGATATGCGTTGGAACATGGTAGTGATCTAATCCAAATGGAGCCTCTCTGTGATTGGATTTTGCTTCATTAGATGAATGGGTATAAGGAAGGATAATTCAATGCAGGAACATCCCCTTTGAATAAAAACGAAAACTGAATAAAGAATTAGTAACTCTTGGCCAAAATATCTAGGAGCCTAGAAGTTATGCAGGGCCAGATCTGGTTAGTATTTGGATGAGACGACTTTAGGAAATACCAGGGATGTCAACGAGACTAGGTAGAACATCAAAAAAAAATCTTCATGGTTGTGTCCATGAAGTCATCAGGAATTGAGCTCAACTCAGATGGAACTCCAGTGAGAAAGAAATCTAGATAGAGATGGTAGAAAAGCTACCAGGCAGCCCAAAGAATGATGCTGTAGGAGCTCATCCTTCAGTATGATCTTTCTTACCATTTATTGGGCAAGTAAGGGAAAGCTTGAGTCAGTCTTCCCTATTGGGGTGACACTGCAAGGTCCCCACTATTGAAAAACCCAGATGGAAGGGAATATCTTCCCTTGGGATTTTATTGAAATCATAAAATTTAGCATGTGGTTTAACAGATGATAATTAAAGGCAAGGATGTTCACTTAAATCCTTTACCTACCTTATCAAGAAAGAGGTAAGAAAATTATACTCCAGCCACTTGTATTTCATGAATGTTCTCTACTAGTTTGATAGAATTTCCAAAGTCAGTTATCTTCCAAGTATTGTCTTTTGTCTTACTCCTGGTGACATTACAGCATCACCCATGGAAAGTCTGAAGTTCTCTCCTTCTCTTTCTCTCCAGTATTATCTGCTGTGAAGCCAGATTTCCAGCTTTGAGTTTCCAAAGTGTTCAGTAGAACAACATTTTTTGAATGGGTTACTAAAGCCCTGATGAAGACCTCATTCTCTATTCCAGATACACTTCTCTCCCCCCTGTGTTGCCTCTGGGCTGGATTTTGTGGGTGTTACTACAGCTGCACATGCTGGTAATGATCCTTACACAACATATTTTTGGTCTGCTATGTTCCCTGGAGGATCTTGTGAGCTTCAGTTGAACTGGGCCTGTTTTATGAGTGATTTAATGTGGTGTAAGCAATCTGCGTACATTGTGTATGAGTGTCTGAGAATGAGACAGAACGCACTGCTGCTGTTGATATCACATTATTTTATTAGAGTTTCAAAGCTGATATTAAGTGGACATGATTTCTTCCTATGGACCATTAATTTTGTTTTATTGCTGGCCTGATGGCCGTTACCCTCCCCTTCTTGCCAATACATTCCTCCATTAGGCTTGTACAAATTAACAAAATATGAACTGTTTAAGGCATTGCTTTGAACAATGGGGTCAGTGCAAAAGAGGGCTGGGAGGGTGTGTGTGGGGGGGGTAGAGGAATAATTTGTGGTAATGGGAGGCTGAGGAGTGGAAGGGAGGCAAAAGAATAAGATTTGTAAACTCTGGAAGATTATGAGCTGTTTCACACGAGTTATTTTGTAGTAAAGGACTACAACTGCACAAACTGGAAAAAAAAAATTCCCAAGATTAATGTAATAAATTAAACATATGAATGGCTACCTTGTTAACCAGATACTTCTAATATTTTTGCATATGATTCAAATAGCTTTAGTTTGAGAAAAAAAGTGTGAAAGCAATGTGGAGAGATCTATCATAAGAGTTATTTTTTTATACGGATGGAGAAAAAGGAGTTATAATCTAAAGCTGCCTTTTCCTGTTTTCTTTGTTTCTTTATATAATTCTCCAAATCACATAAAATAATTTAACCTAGCAAGGCTTTAAAATTCTACATCTTTTTTGTAGGTATGTTTTCTATCATTCAGTGCTTCTGTATATAGCTTCACTTAAATATAATACATGTAGTGTTTCACATTTATTCTTCAAAAAAAATTGCCTTTTAGTATACATTTCCCTGATTATCTTCTTTACATCAATTTCCATGATGCACTTTTGTAAATTGACATTTTTCCAATGTAAGCGCTGTTTCTCTTTACATCACTACATAACACTTAGAGTTATATACCGTTTCACAGTGCTTTACAGCCCTCTCTAAGCAGTTTACAGAGTCAGCCTATTGCCCTCAACAATCTAGGTCCTCATTTTGCTGACCTCGGAAGGATGGAAGGCTGAGTCAATCTTGAGCTGGTCAGGACTGAACTCCTGGCTGTGGGTAGAGTCAACCTGCAATTCTGCATTCTAACCACTGCGCCACCAATGCTCTACATTTTTCAATGTGTAACTTTTATAGATGTATTGAGCGTATTGCTCATACACATTTTTGTGAAGGTTTTGATCTGAGAAAAATGGATGATAACCAACGTGTTCCACCCCTCAATGCTGAAGCAGAGACTATTTGAACTCTTACATTTATCCATTCCTAAAGAAATTTATCAGAGATTTATTTTATATGTCTTTTCAGTACTATTGCTGACAGAAAGTTCGAACTGAGCTTTGGCTGGTTTAGTGTTCCACTCACTATACCATATTTGGGGATTTTAATTTAATGGTGGGAATCCTCAGATCAAATGACGTAAAACAGTATAAAACTTTTACAGACTAAAGTCAGTCATAAAACAAAATTCCAGTGCAGCAAAGACAACTGTAAAACTGGGTTTCCTTTCAAAGCAATTGTGACAAGAAATTAAATAAAAGAACCGAGTTAATGAAGAAATGCAGTTTAGATACATCAGAAGTTAAACTTTCCATCTTGCTTTAACCTTTGATGATGGGTTAGTTGCAGTGGTGGGATTCAGCCAGTTTGCACCACTTCGGGAGAACTGGTTGTTAACTTTCTGAGTGGTTTGGTGAACTGGTTGTTGGAAGAAATCATTAGGGCAGAGAACCGGTTGTTAAATTATTTGAATCCCACCACTGGTTAGTTGTAAACATATTTTCATCAATTAGCAGGTGTTTTTGAAGTGAAAGATTGATGCATTTGTTTTTCTAAAGATTTATTACTACTGGGACCATCTTAAAAGAGATATTCAATATTAGCAGAATCCTGATCTTTTGGCTAAATCTCCTTGCTACTTCAACACTCTGTCCCATATCCTTTAGACTTCCAAAGAGTGCTCTGCCCTTCATAAATTAGCTTTTGATTTAGTTATCTGATTACATTTTCACAATTGTGATTATGTATTGACTTTCCAACTTTGGATTTGTCCTTTTCTTTTTCCAACATGGTCAACATTGCTGCATTTTTGCTGAGATTGTGGCCCTTTTTAATACAATGCCCTTTTGCTGTATTCACAGATGGTTACTGGAATTGGATCCTGAGACTTCTGTCTTTCAAGTGGGTAAGGGAAAATTATTGCTAAATTATCCTGATCTTGGATGTTAAAAATCATACCAGAAGTGTGATGTTTTTGCCATGCCACAAGGTGTGTTATAGCGAAGCCCTTACTGTTTAAAAGCTTAATGAGATTAATATGTTCAGGTTGGATGGAAAAAAGCTCATATGGAATCTGTTTCTTTAGTTAAGACTTTCTGAGTAGCAAACTACAGTGTGCAAAATCTCTCCATGTTTGAGCACTTCAACCCTCTGGAACTCTCAAAAAATTGAGAGTTCATACTAAAAATAAAGCTGACAAAGCTAATAGCCAGTATTTACTTTGATTTCTTCACCATCTTCATAGAAAAGGCCAAATGAATTCTTCCTTTTCAAAGCAGTGTCTGGCTTGACCTGACACTTTCAGAACTCCTGTTTAAGGAAGCTGACTTCTGGTTTGTAACTCAGTCAATCAAAGTAGAAGTATAAAATCATAGGGCTGGAAGAGACCTTGGTGGTCTTCTAGCCCAACCCCCTGCCCAAAGCAGAAGTCCTTATATCATTGGGCCATCATGCCACATTCCGCCTTTGGCACCCTGGTATCATTTCCTTTGAAGGTAGGCAGAGGGGGTGTTGTGATCACATGTAATCACATGTAACCCCAACCCTTGGGTAGCCTTCTCAGCTGGGGATAAAGTCAACCACAGATAATCAAAATCCAAAGCCCAAGGCTGGAAGCAGAATCTCATGAATTGACTAACCTTTATATTATTTATTAACAGTATCAATATTTATTATGGTCACAGACCAGCATAAGGTTTGTAACTCAGATAGCCATGTTTATTGCCCATTAGCAAATGTGACACTTGTATGAGCTTGGCAGAGTCTGCCAAAGTCTCAAGCTGCCGTCATCCTAGGAAAGATCCCCACTAGTGATTCAGCCATCGGTATGCACTAACAGTAATACGTACAAATGTTAATGGCCTCAGTCATGGTGGGGATAACATTAGCAGAAGCTATCCATCACTATGAAGAAATGCTCCTAGATTACTTCTGATATGCCTATTCAACTTCTCTTCCTTTTTGCTTCCAGTCATTAAAACTGTCTACATGGAGAACATGTTAATAGTTATAAATTAGTTTAAATGACATCAAAACTTTGTGTGTTTGGGGACAAAAATGAAAATATCACCTAGTGGACTGAATTAACTAATCATACATCAAATAATACATCAATAATTAATCAATACGAAAGAGCCTTGGTAGTACAAGGGTTTAAGGCACCCTGTTATTAAGCTGGTTATTAAGACCAGCTGCCTGCAATTACTGCAGGGTTCGAATCTCGCCAAGGCTCAAGGTTGACTCAGCCTTCCATCCTTTCTAAGGTAGGTGAAATGAGGACCCAGTTTGTGGGGGCAATAAGCTGACTGTATAAATATACAAAAGGATGAAGGCTATTGCTGAGCACATTGTAAGCCGCCCTGAGTCTTCGGAGAAGGGCGGCATATAAATCAAATTAAAAAAAAAAATACATGATTTTGGGATGGGGAGGAAGAACATCTCAAAAAGGCCTGCCACAAATTTTAAAGTCAGGGGACTGAAGAAAAACAACATAAGTGTTGTGAATTGGCCATGAATAGAGTAAGAAAGCGCTAGTTCTCTGCAAATCTCCAGAAATATAAATTGGAATATTTTGGGCAAAGAACTGACTAGCTCAGAACTGACTTTAACTTTGAAGCCTGTTTGATGAAGAAATGCTACCAAATGCTTCCTGTTAGTGCTGGTATTTTGTCTGAGTAGTGAGGATTTTCTTGGGATTAATGTTTTGCCTGTGCGCCTCCAACCTGATTTTCTGAGTGGTCTTTCTGTTTTGCTCCCCTGGATTCCTAATTTTTGGTTCCCTGTGACTCAGACTTAATCTTGGTTAAGCAGTTGAATCTTTTCCTCCCCTGATCATCTCTAAATGGTTTTATAGAGGCAGCACGTTTCCCCCAACAATCTGGGTTCTCATTTGACTGACCTTGGAAGGATGGAAGGCCGAGTCAACTTTGAGCCCATCAGGATTGAACTCCTGGCTCTGGGCAGTCTGCAATATGGCACTTAAAGCTTAAATTGAACTGAATGTTCATTTTCAGCACTCTTTGATCCTATGAAAGAAAGAGAAGTTTTGAAATTTAATGACAGAGAATGACATTTCAGAAATGTGGGGAGGTTTGGGACAAACTATGGCACCTAGTAGCCTTTTTTCCCTTCCCTAACAGTCAGTCTTGAATTGATGCATCGTCTTGTCATAGAACAGTGTTTCTCAGTCTAGACAACTTTAAGATATGTGGACTTCAACTCCCAGGATTCCCCAGCCAGCATGTTGGCTCAACTGGGAATTCTGGGAGTTGAAGTCCACACATCTTAAAGTTTCCAAGTTGAGAAACACTGCCATGGAATGATCCTATGACAGGGGTGTCAAACTCGATTTCATTGAGGGCTGCATCAGGGTTGTGTTTGACCTTGGGGGGCCAGGGTGAGTGTGGCCATGGTGGGCATGGCCAGCTCAACGTCACTTGTGTCAAGGGTGCCTGTGGTGGCCCGAGCACTCTGCCAGCGAAAACAGGCTCCTGAGCTCCATTTTCGGCTATGACAGCCTCCTGCAACCCTCTTTCAGTGAAAACGGAGTTGGGAGTGCTGCCCGCAGCCCTTGCAAGCTCTGTTTTCAGTTGCGACAGCCTCCTGCAATCCTCTGCCAGCGAAAATGGAGCTTGCATGCAGCTCTCCCAAGCCGGATCCGGTCCCTGGCCTTGAGTTTGACACCCCTGTTCTATGACATTGTAAATGCATTAATAAAAGAGTAGTACATTCCAGAAGAGAAGGAGATAGAAGACTCCCAGATTCCTATGTAATCCAGCACAGTAGCACTGATATTTGCATAGAGAAATGCCAGGTTTAATCCCAGCATTTACAGGTGGGGCTGGAAACACCTTGAACTCTGGAGAACCACTGCTGGTGGTTGAAGCTAATTTTAGTTTCAATATAACTTAAATCTGAATCAATATACAGATAGCCCTTGATTTACAATCACGATTGGGATTACTTAACATTGCTAAGTAAGGCAGTTGTTATGTAAGTCATTGTCCAATATCCCAACCTTTTTTATCACAGATATTAAGAAATCATTGCAGTTGTTAAATGTCTTATGTGGCTGTTAAGCAAATTCAGCTTCCCCCATTGTCAGAAGCCAGATGTGACAGTCACAAATGGTGATCACATGACTCTGGGACAGTGCAACTGTTGTTGCCAGCCGATTGCCAAGTGCTCAAATTGATCACATGACCATGGGAATATTGCAATGAATATTGCAATAGAGCCATAGTAGCGCAGGAGTTAGAATGCAGACTCAAGGTTGTCTCAGCCTTCCATCCTTCTGAGGTTGGTAAAAATGAGGACCCAGATCATTGGGGGCAAATATGCTGACTCTGTAAACTGCTTAGAGAGGGCTGTAAAGTACTGTGAAGCAGTATATACTGTAAGTCTAAGTGCTATTGCTATAAGTGTGAAGTTTGATTGTAAATTATTTTTTTCAGTGCTGTTGTAATTTTGGTTACTAAAAGAAGGGCTGGAAGTCAAGGTTTCTTTGTTTTTATATTCCTGTTTTATTCTTACAAGCCAAATGCAGCCAGATTTCTGTTCAAATTATGACTGCAGAGTAATGTTCATTTGTTATTCATCTGTTAGTCACAGCTAAAATTGTATGAAGGGAAGGAGACTGGCAAAGGATTCTATCCTCCCACACAGAAGGAATAGTAATCAAAATGTTTAGATCTTATGGAAACAGTGAAACAATCTCAGGAATGCTATTAAAATGACAGCATTTTAGCAGATAAGTGAGCTATCAGTTACTGATTTATTTATTTTTTTGCAGACATGGAAGATCTGTTCACAGTACACTTTTGTTCTCAGGGTTTATACAATATTTTAGATTCAGTTATTTCACTTCTATGAATGTCTGTCACATCATAGACAGAGGCTGATTGATCCTGGCATCCGAAAAGTGACTGTATTGCAGTTCAAAAATTCATGGGTTTGTTTTTTTTTTCAAGCCAGGATTAGACTTTCAGGAAATGTTAAGGAGCAGAGGCAAGCCTCAAAAAGGTTCTTCAATTTATCTGAAAGCTTCAAAAATGTAAGTTTGATTAGAGAGAGCTGTATGCACTCACTGGCGTTCTGCCTTCTAAGAATTTTTCACGTTGAATTGCTCTATCCCAGTTACAGTATTATCACAAGTTGTCTATGGAGATTTTCAATCATCCAGGTGAGGGTTGTCCCAAAAGTCTTTTTCCAAAAGGCAACTGGACTTTCTTGGTTTTTTTCTTTGAAAATATTTTGCTTCTCATCTAAGAAGCTTTTTCAGACTTGGTTGAGAAGTGAAACATTTTCAAGAACCCCTCCCCCTCCCCCCCCCCCAAAAAAGTCCAGTTGCCTTTTGGAAAAGCACTTTGGGGACTACTATCACAAAGGACTTCACCAAACAAGTGGGGATTCCTGTAGGAAATCTTTCTGATGAGAAACCTTGAAGGATATGCAATGGTAGCACAGGTTGATCTTGTGTGTGGACAGGTTTTCAGAATGGCCAGGTTATACCTACACTTCTAGCTTTATTGGAAGTGGGTCTTCTCCACTCAACAGTTTTGTAGAAACATGGCCATTGCAAGAAGCACCATGGGAGAAGTCCTACCTTCGAAGAACCTGGTGCTGCTGTTTGGTGACTTTGTAAATTTTAGAAAGTCAATGCAACCTCATCCATGGATGGTTTTTAGAAAAAGGATGGCTAGACCCATCAGCAATAAAACTCCACCTTAGCTGCTGGAGATCTTTGCAGCAGACCTCTTTTAATCCTTACTGTGGCAAATATGCTATGCTTTCCTTTTGTGTCACTTGGATGCTATGCTTGGCTTTTGATTGGCTTGGTTTCTTTTCCTTTCTCTCTTCAGAAGCATTGATAGCCATTCTGTTTGCATGAGCCTTTCCTGTTTTTGAACCTTTGTTATTGATCTGGGAAGCTCAACACACATTATCCCGAAAGCTTGATAATCAGATCCGCATTCTGTCCCTTTGGGGGAAGGAAAAAAAAAAGAGCTCTACGTGTTTCACCAGCTGTTTAGCAAAATCCGCCTCTTGCTTTCTTTATGAAACTAACCCCTTTGATCATCCTCTTGGAACATCGATGTCAAAGGTCAGAACAGATATAAAGCCTCTGAGATGGACCAAATGTTAGCAGTGGGACCAGCGTAGCAAAGAGGAACCTTTGTAATGCTGCATTTGGTAATGTGCAATTAAAGTATTTTCTTGGAATTCCTTTTGGCTGTGCATTTCAACACATCATGAGATCCCTTGGCTGGATTTCCACGTTCAAACCTCATGATAGGATGGAACCAACCCACTCACTGCTATGGACTTTGCTTTGTTTCAAAACTAGACTACCATCTGAGATGCATGCAATAGATTTAGAGGGCATGAAGTCAAAATGTGGGTTGGTTAGGGTGGGATTAATGTGTTCTGTGAGCCACATTTTAGCCCTTTGAAGAGGAGAGCCATGTTAGTCCATCTTTGCAAAAAATCAGGAATCTGGAAGCACCTTCTCCCACTAACAAAGGGATTAAAAATTCATGAGCTGCAGCTCACATCATCAGATGCCTATGATTCTAAGCTACATTGTGTGGCCTACCATTGTCCTGTATTCAGTAAATAGTAAACCACATCTTAGTTTACTATAAATTTAGCTCCCAGGACTAAAAATGAGAATAGTTGTGATGTGCAAAGACAATTCCACAGAATTTTTGGGTGCAAAAAGATGTCCCAGAGCAGTTCTCTGTAGGAAGCCAAAACTCCAACCTGGGGTCAGGTTGGAGTTTATTTGGAACTCTTTTGTAATAAAAAAGGGGGGAGGGGGCACCAACTGGCTTTAAAAAAGTCAGTGCAAATATGTTATTCCTACCCTGCCTCCCATTCTCCCCCCAGTTGGTACAACTGACAGCAGGTTGTTAGATTGCATATATCCCTTTGCACCCTTTCCTGCTTTGCTAGGTGAGCACAAAAGCTTTGGGGAAAAGCTCAGATGATTGTGCTGCAGAATGAAATGAAGAAGCAGTTTGCCTTGTAGAAAGAAGAAGATGCTTCCTTGTGCCTGCCTGCCTGCCTTCCTTCCTTCCTTCTTCCTTTTTTCTTCCCTTCCCTTCCCTGCATCTTCTCTCCTCCCTCCCTTCCATCCTCCCTTCCTTCCTTCTTTTCCCTGCCTCTTCCTCCCTCCCTCCCATCCTTTCTTCTTCCTCTTCCTTGCCTCTTTCTTCTTCCTCCCATGCTTCCTTCCTTCCCTTCCCTGCCTCTTCTCTCCTTCCTTCCTTCCCCCAATCCCTGCACTGAAACGTAAAGCCACTAAGACAAAGACAGTTTGCCAGCTCAAAATCCTTGTGGCGATAGAATCAGGGAGCAGCAGGAGAGCCGCAGTTACTGCAAAACAATGGTTTCTACTGGGGGTGGGTGGGTAATTTTGTCACACGATTTATCTTAAACCTCCTGGAGGGATTTTCCCTTTTGATCTCGGAAGCGGGGGCACATCTCTGTGAAAATAAGCCTTTTTTTTAAAAAAAAAATTTGATTTATATGCCGCCCTTCTCCGGAGACTCAGGGCGGCTTACAGTGCGTTAAGCAATAGCCTTCATACTTTTGTATATTTATACAAAGTCAGCTTATTGCCCCCACAAACTGGGTCCTCATTTAACCTACCTTAGAAAGGATGGAAGGCTGAGTCAACCTTGAGCCTTGGAGAGATTCGAACCAGCAGTAAATTGCAGGCAGCTGTGTTAATAACAGGGTGCTTTAAACCACTGTAGTACCAAGGCTCTTACCAAGCCTTTGATGCTAGGTATCCCCAATATGATCAGGATTTTTCCCCTGACATTCAAGATTGAAGTGTCTGGTTTTCTCCTTGCACAACAGGGGAGATGGGGCAGCAGTGTGGAAAATCTTGGATGCTGGCTGTTGGGAGCCAACTTAGAAATGCCAGCCTAACTCTCATGGGTTAACCAAAGTTGGCTGCTGGCTGGGGGAGAACACAAGAAAGAGAGTCTAGACCAGATTTATCTGACCTGGGGTTTTGGGTTGCATTGGGATGAGACAACTCTGCAAGTCAGAGCAAAAAGAAAATGCTGGGAGATATAAATGGAGCCCTTATGACATACTTTCAATTTTCATCTTTTTAAATGGCATTTAGTAGATTTGCATGAGACCAATTGACCTGAAATCAGTAGTTCTTTCTAAATCCTCAGCTGCAATGTGCTAATGCTTTCAGGGCAACAGATTTCCACCAGCTATACAGAGAGCCCTTGAAAAAGACATATTTGAAAAAGTTGGGACTGATTAATAAAGTTTTCTTCATCAGCATTTGAGGCTCTCATGTCAGCAGAAGATAAAGCAGAGTTGAGGGGAGGAGTTAAGCGCGTCATCAGCTTAGAATCATTATGTTGTCACAAACAATCCAAGTCCATCCCCTCTTGAATTCTGTTGACTCTTATCTGGTGCCAATTTAGTATTGAATTAGATTCTTTTCTATAGGTTTGAACAATAAATCTTGACCTACTACTTAATATATGGTCCTGATCCTTTGCAGCTGACATTTTTTGCTTCACGTTGTTGTGTCTGCCCTCTCAGAATATTCAATTGTTGATCAGTTCACCCATATTCATATATGCTTAAACTTGGAGTTCCTATGCTTATAAGTAGGATGACTTGTCATTAATTGAACTTCTGCATTCCTCCTTTCCTGTAATCATATGTGAAAAAGACCTTGGGAGGTGGGGCAAAGAATGCTGCCTAGGAAATGGTCAGATAAGAGACAGCATAGCCTGCAGCTGGATACTGGGTAGGGCAAGAGACTAAGAAGGGACCCTCCCTAATTTCTTGGGCTGTAAAGATGGGAAGAATGGTACATTTGGATTTGCAAGAGTATGTTAAATAGCATTACAATAAAGTAGAATTATCTTATCTAATTCTAAGAGCTGTGATGCCACAGTGGTTAGAATGCAGTATTGCAGGTTAACTTTGCCAACTGCCAGGAGTTCAATCCTGACCAGCTCAAGGTTGACTCAGCCTTCTATCCTTCCGAGGTCGGTAAAATGAGGACTCAGTTTGTTGGGGGCAATATGCCGACTCTGTAAATTGCTTAGAGAGGGCTGTAAAGCACTGTGAAGTGGTATATAAGTCTAAGTGCTATTGTTGTTGCTATCTGATCATGTTTCCTGTCTGGTTTGACATTTCCTTTGACAATTTTCTGATATCAGTACTGAGGAGTTCCTTCTTGAGATGTCATGCCTTTTTGTTTGCTTCTGCCCTAGTTAATAATCTCGACTTGAGTTTTCTGAATCAATAGACCAGTCCAATAAAAGACAGGATACTGGAAAAAATTATTTGACATTTAAGGCTTGCCTTCATTTAATGTGTTACCCTTATAGGTTTCTCTTTTGCCACTGGGATTCTTATGTGATCTTCTGCTTCTTTTTTGGTTTCTCAAATGCTCAGGAGAATCTATTTCAAAATAAGAAACCAATTCCATTTGGGCCACCATTTTTCGTTAATGTGAAGTACACTTAAATGTTAAACCTGTCATCTGCTTAATTCAACAGCATTCAATGGATTCATATGAATTAATCGGAGAAGAGTGAACCCCAGTTTGGTCAAGGATTCATTAATTGGTTAGTAGTGATCATTTTCCCCCTAAACAGTTCAATCCAGCAAATTAAGGCTCAATTCAAGAGGTCAGTGACAGCCTTTTAATGAATTGAATTAAACCTCGAATCTATCAAACAGTTTTTAACTGATAAAAATATCCTCAACTGGGTATTTAATTTTTAAAAAACCTTTACACTGAGGCAGGAACTTACAAAAACTTCTGAAGGCAGTTTGAGCAAAGACACTCACTCCATTTTGCGCAGGGAGGAATATCTAGCTGAAATAAATTCAAAGTATATAGTGCATACAGGTACATTTGCTTTCCTATGAAAACTGATACAGATTTAATTGATTTGAGTAATGGGCTGAAATATTCTCGGCATATTCTCCTCCTCCTTCTGTCTTTTGAACAGGAGTTCAGCAAGGCACTTGTAACATTATTCTTTCTGTTTTTCCCTTGTGACGACAGTTGGGTTGAGAAAGAATTATCCAGTTATTTAGAGAACTTTTATGGCTGACGCTGGGTTTGCCCCTTTCCTAATCCAACAGCGTCACTACTATAAGTAGTCCTTGATAAAAGACCACAATTGAGACCAGAATTTCCATTGCTATGCAAAGTGGTTGTTAAATGAGTTGCACCCGATTTAACATTCTTTTTTTGCCACAATTGTTAAGGGAATCCAGTTTCCCCATTGACTTTGCTTATCAGAAGCTGGTTGAGAAGATAATAAATGGCGACCACAAGACTCCAGGATACTGCAGCCATTGTAAATATATTGCCGGTTGCCAAGTGTCCAAATTTTGATCATGTGACTATGCAGATGCTGCATCGTAAGTGTGAGGACCAGTTGTAAACCACTTTTTTCAGAGCTGTTGTAATCTCAAACAGTCACTGAATGAATGGTTGTAAGTTGAAGACCAGCTGTATAAGGCATTGATTGTCATTCCATTTGATGAAGGAGAATTTCCTTTCTGAGAAGAACCTAATTTCAATGAAATTCCCCTGGGAGGTGTGCGATGCTTTTGGGCTTCTTTTCTTAACGGACTGATGCCACTGATGTCTATGGAGATTCTCAGTCATCTAAGTCCCCTCCTGTGCGAGCTGCACTGGCTCCCGGTGGTCTTCCGGGTGCGCTTCAAGGTTTTGGTTACCACCTTTAGAGCGCTCCATGGCATCGGACTGGGGTATTTACGAGACCGCCTTCTGCTACCAATAGCCTCTCACCGACCAGTACGCTCCCATAGAGAGGGGCTTTTCAGGGTGCCGTCGGCCAAACAGTGTTGACTGGCGGCCCCCAAGGGGAGAGCCTTCTCTGTGGGGGGCACCTACCATCTGGAACGAGCTCCCCCCAGAGATACGGAGGATCCCGGATCTGCTCACGTTTCGTCGTGCTCTCAAAACTTTTTTATTTCAGCAGGCTGGCCTGGCCTAACTCTCCCTTTTAAATTTTTTAAATTGTTTGATTTGTTTTATAAACTGGGTGTTTTAATCTCTGTTTTGGCCAAAATATTTAATAATTTTAAGGGACTTTTAATGTTTGTATTATCTGTATTTCATCTCGGCTGTTCACCGCCCTGAGTCCTCCGGGAGTAGGGCGATATAGAAATTTGATAAATAAATAAATAAATTAAATAAATAAATAAATAAGTCATGGTTGTCCCAAAGGTGCTTTCTGGTTTTCCTTTGAGAAGACATTTCTCATCTAAGAATGAAAAGCTGAAGAAACTTCTGTATGTGTGTGTGTGTGAGAGAGAGGGGGGAAGGAGAGGGAGGGAGGGGAGAGGGAGGGAGGGGGGAGAGAGAGTGAGAGGAAAAGGGGGAGGGAGAGAGGAAGAGGGGGAGAGAGAGGGGGAGGGGGAGGGAGGGAGGGGGGAGAGAGAGAATGCCTTTAATTGTTCTATCCTCTCCCCAACTGTTTATAATTTTTGATTGGAATTTAACTCTGGTAGGAAAAGCCAGGAAGACTGAAAACCCCAAAAACAGTAGCACCAGTGGTTCCTTCCAGTTCGGCCCGGTTCGGCCGAGCTGGTAGCGGTGATGATATGATGTCACCGAACTGGTTCTCTTTGTTTGGGAGCTGCCCCCCCCCACATTATTCTTACCTTTTATTTGGCCCTGCCCCCAATCTATTCGCTGCCTCCTGAGTCCCAGCTGATTGGCTAGAAGGAAAAACACTGTTTAAACTCTTGCCCCGGGGCTTCAAAGGGCCGCCCTACAGCTGATCAGTACTAAAAGTCAGTGTGGTGGTAGACCAGTGCGCTCGAAAAATAAATGGGTAGACTGGTGCCTCCAAAAACAAATGGGTAGACCGGTGCCTCCAAAAACAAATGGGTAAACCGGTACAGCTCTGCAAGCAGTTAAAAGCCTGGTAGACCAGTACCTCTGCTAAATCCTAAAGAATTGTCCCATGACCATCAAATCATGCCCACAAAATAAGCCACGCCCACAGAACTGGTAGTAAAAAAAAATTAGAACCCACCTCTGAGCGGCACGCAACCTTTTGGGCACCAGGGACCAGTTCTGTGGATAGGGAGTTTTCTGAGGACCAGAGGGGATGTGGTTTTGCATGCTGGCTGCATCCCACGGATGGGGCTTCATTTGTTTGCATGGCCCAGTTGCTGGCATGCTGTGGCTCGGGGCCAGTCCATGGATTGCTGTCCAATGAGAAATGCACAGCACATATATCAATCAGGTAGCTAAGTAAGCACAGGAACCTTGCACATCACCATGAAATTTCACTGAGGTTTCTTCCCCATTTTGAAAAAAACAAAACGAAACCAGAAACAAATGCAGAAGAAACGCTTAGCAGACAGCACCAGCCTGAATGGTGCAACGTAGCCTTTTTTTCCTAAACGGTACTGCCCATAATGGACCAATGTTTCATCTCTGAGAAATGCCTCGAGCGAGTGTGGTCTCCTTCAGAAATTTCGAAGAGATGGGAACCTCATTTCAAATTTTAGATGACCACAACCATCCACCCACCAGCTGTACAGACCAATTTTGTTTTTCAGTCAGAACGTAGCCAATTATTTTTATTATCCAATTGGATAGCTTTTGAATGGCGTACTCTGTACAGAACTGAATGCCTGAAAATAGTCTTTGAATAACCCTGGATTCCTTCCCAGAGGATTGCTTTACACCCTTGGCCTATAATTGTTTCCCAGCTAGCTATGTTGGCAGGGCCACTTCTACCAAGGAAAGCTACAGAACTGTAGGATGACCTCTGGCACAACAGTTTGAAACACTTAGAGACCATCAAAGTGCAGTTGGTTTACAGCTTCTTCATCAACACAAAATGATCCCAACTGGCAATTAAAGACCGAGAATGGCAGAGTGGAGGCCTGGCCAAATTGCTCTCCCTTTTCCTTGTATCACTGGAAATAGTTCCTGGACACCAGATTTTTTTTCCTACTTTCACTATGAAATGATATTCCCAGATGCCGTCAAACAGAAGCCCATCTGTTTTGTCTGGATCCGCTCACATGTGGAGCTGCACGGTAGCCAGCTAGAAATAGATTTACATATTTTGTTTTGATTGTGGTTTAATTGTGTAATAAGTAAAATTAGGGTTGTTATATTTTTCCATCTGTAGTTCTTCCATATCACTTCCACTTGCATTCTAGAGCTGGGAGGGAGAGGTGGGTGAGGAATGGGAAGAGAGAATATTAACCTTCATAATTTTCCATCTAGGGGTGGCTTATTTCATACACTGGAAAACATTTCCAGGATCTTTGCTTGCAGAATTTGGAAAAAGGAACTACAGAGTGCAAGCTAAACACATAAAAGGGGTATGTTTTAATTTTTAACAAGCTTCTATGAAATGCCTCCAACTTTTATTGTGATAGTCTGCAACTAGGTAGTGAAAGTAAAGCATAGACATGACCAGGGGTGAAATCCAGCAGATTCTGACTGGTTCTGGAAAACTGGTAGCAGAAATATTGAGCAGTTCGGAGTCCCAGCAAACATCACCTCTGCCTGGCCCCCGAGTGGGATGGGAATGGAGATTTTGCAATATCCTTCCCTGCCAAGCCCACCAAGCCATGCCCACAGAACCAGTAGTAAAAATATTTGGATTTCACCACTGGACAGGACCCATTCTCTTTCTCTTTCCCATGGCTATCTTACATAGCCATATTTATTTATTTTTATTTTACTCTTTTATTTATATCCCATCTTTATTATTTTTATAACAGCTGTAGATTCAGACCACTTCCTGAGCACCCAAACTGTGATCATGTGATCAGGCCATTGGGACTTCACATCCAGGCCACACATAAGGCAGGGGAGGTCCTTCATAACATCAAAGGGTTGCTAAGCTACCGGCAGTAAATTAAGGACTACCATATTATCCCAAAGGTGCTTTTTCAAGAGGCAAATGGACTGTATGGTTTTTCTTTGAAGACGTTTTGCTTCTCATCTAAGGAGCTTCTTCAACTCAGAGCTGAAGAAGAAAAACCAGAAAGTTCAGTTGCCTCTTGATAAAGCACCTTTGGGACAACCATGACCTGGATGACTGAGAATCTCCATAGACAAGGACTACCATACCTTAGTTCTAAACCGGAGCCTTCCACAGGTTATGTTTTTTAAAAAATCAAAATGGCAGGCAAACAGTATGATTGAATAAGAGCCGTGGTAGTGCAGTGGTTAGTATGCAGTACTGCAGGCTACTTCTGCTGACTGCAATTTGGCAGTTCGAATCTTAACAGACTCAAGGTTGACTCAGCCTTCCATGCTTACCGAGGTCAGTAAAATGAGGACCCAGATTGTTGGGGGCAAGATGCTGATTCTGTAAACTGCTTAGAGAGGGCTGTAAAACATTGTGAAGTGGTATATAAGTCTAAATGCTATTGCTATTGCTATTGATGCTCCTTCTGATTTTTTTATGTAACACATATGCACCCATTATATATGTATACAGATAGTCCTTGACTTCCAATCACCATTGAGCCGGGGGTGAAATGCTTCCAGTTCGGACCGGAATGGAGGCAGGTGGTTCGGAGAACCGGTAGCAAAAATCCCTGCCCCCCACCCCCCACCCCCCGCTCAGCTGAGCCGCACAATCATCAGAGGCTTTTTTCTTACTTTTAAAAGCATTTTTTCTACAACCTCTTCGGCCAAAAAATGCTTTTAAAAGTAAAAAAAAAAAAGCCTCTGATGATCGCTGGGATCTTCAAAGGCTTTTAAAAGAAAAAACCCTTTTGTGGGCTGAAAACTTGGCTATTTCACCTGGCCATCTTGGATTGATGGGGGTTTTAATCTGGGTTTTATTGAATTTCTTAATTTTAACTTGGACTTTTGTTTTTATGGTTTGTCTGTTCTGTTTTAATTGTTGTGAGCCGCCCTGAGTTCTGTGGAGATAGGGCGGCATACAAGTCCCAACAAATAAATAAATAAATAAATGCCTCTGATTATCCAATCTGAGTTGCCTGATCGTCAGAGGCATTTAAAAGAAAAAAAGCCTCTGCCGATCAGGCAACTAAGCTGGGATCGTCAGAGCTTTTTGAAAGCATTTTTTAATAACCTCTTCGCCGAAGAGGTTGTAGAAAAAATGGTTTTAAAAGTAAAAAAAAAATGACCACGCCCACCCAGTCACATTACCCCCCAACCCACGCCCACAGAACCGGTAGTAACAAATTTTAGATTTCAGCACTGCATTGAGCCCAAAATTTGTTAAGTAAGTTTGCCCCATTTTACGGCCTTTCTTGCCACAATTGTTAAGTGAATCATTGCCATTGTTAAATTAGTAACACAGTTGTGAAGTGAATCTGGCTTCCCCATTGACTTTGCCAGTCAGAAGGTTGCAAAAGGGGATCACGTGACCAGAGACACTGCAACCGTCATAAATACATGCCAGTTGCCAAGCATCTGAATTTTGATCATGTGACCATGAGGATGCTGCACCAGTGGAAAGTGTGGAAAAATGGTCATAAGTCACTTTTTTCAGTGCCATTGTAAACTGTCACTAAATGAATAGTTGTAAGCCGAGGACTACCTGTAACGGATAGAGCTTCCTTTGTGGCCGTGCATTGATTTTTTACCATCCCCTGCAGACAGTCTTTAGGTTGCTGATTCAGATCATGAATAGCCTTGAGCAACATGATGATATGAAGCTTCCCCCCCCCCCCCCGGTCTGTGTAGCTAATTGTTGTAACTCACAGATCCATAACTTTTACCTTTTTGAGACGGGCGGCTAGTTCTTTGCAGTTCTTTTTCCCTTGGGTAGTTCTGGAGGAGGTTAGAGGGATAAGTCACTTGTCACCTATCCTTTCTTTAAATTGAATTAGCAGGTTACAGTGGTGCTGTTGCTGCTGTTTTAAATGGAGCCCAGAATAAATAAAGTTAGCATCTAGCTTAGCTGGAGGGAAAGGTTGTAAATTTTTATTTACTTTCAAGGCTGGAGCAGCTTAATCGAAGATAACTCTTAGGAATTGTGAAACATACTTGGAGACTTAAATTTGAAAACAGAGAAGGTGTATTAACTGTAAAATGCAAAATGTTTGCATGAAATAAAAACTGGATTTTCAGTCTTGCCTACAAAGGTGATAGATCTGATTGCATGCTTCTCCTTTTCCAAAAATTCTGCTTTTCTGTTCAGTAAATCGTAGCTAATTTTTCATTATTATTTCTTTATCATCAACAAGCAGTCATACGCCCAATACCAACTGCAATAGCTTATGCATGCTGTGAAAATAACATCTCAATTAAGAGAACAAAAAGAGTAAATTCAGTATGTTATGTTCATGTCTAATGTATTGATGGGAAAAGGTGGCAGGGGGGCTCTTAGAACCACTATGGCTGCAGAGCAGATAAGATCATTTCAAAGCTTTCCTCCTTCCCATGTCAAGAGAAAATAACAATCAACTATACCACACTATTTTTTTCTGAATTGCAACCATGCTTAGAATAACCTCAGCTCTTGCTATGAGGATATATGGAAGACATTCAGTTGTGGGAGCAGAGCTTTGAGATAGCACTAGCGCTGGCAATAGCACTTAGATTTATATACCACTTTATAGTGCTTTACAGCTTTATAGGTTTAAGGAGTCAGCCTATTGCTCCCAACAATCTGGGTCCTCATTTCACCGATCTTGGAAGGATGGGAGCCTGAGTTAACCTTAAGCAGGTCAGGATCGACTTGGCAGTGGGCAGACTTTGCCTGCAATACTGCATTCTAACCACTGTGCCACCAGTTTGTCCAAAGATCTGGACAAACTCATCTTGCCATAAATGTCTGTCACCCAACTTTTGAAGAAAAAAAAATCTATAGGTTAGAATTTCTTAAATTGTGGCCCTAGGACCCCTAGGGTCTCCCCAAGACCCTCTTGGGGTTGTATGAAAGTGGTAACTTCTATTTCCAGCCCCTTTGCCAAAGTAGGTTTTTTGTTTTGTTTTTTGTTTTTGTTTGCTTTCTTTCTTATCCTTGGAGTATTTTAGAATTTGTTTGGCATATTTTGAAGGCATCTCTCTGGCTCTGCAGCCTCCTTGGCTGCCCAATCTGAAAAAGCTGCACAGGAGGAGTTCCCTCCTGAGTTCTTTTCTTGAAATTAATGGAAGTATGAGAAATCAAGGAGGATGTAGACTGCAGAAAAGAGGATTGTAAGAACACAACCAGAGTGGTCTTACATACCTCAGCTACCTCATCACTAAGGTGAGCACAAAAACATTACGCAAACCATGAAAAGTCACCTCTATTTTTTCTCCCTTGGGGGGAGGAGGAGGAGAAGGAGGAGGAGAAGGAGAAGGAGAAGAGAGTAAAGAAATATTTGGCAACCACTGGTCAAACTCTTTCAAGATTTTCCTCCTACTGGCAAGATTGAATTCATGCTTGAAGTTGGGCTCCCATTAAAGGACATTATTAATGCGTATTCCAAAGGGGAGTGAATGGAGCGATGTATTGGCCTTTTAAGCATCTCTGGTCCAGTTCATTTAGTTATGGCTCATAAACCAATGAGAACAGTTCTCCCTTGAGTTTGGTAGAGAAGTCCCAGAAACATTTCTCCTCTTCGCCATTCTGTTTTATACAATGGATAGCCAGAATTCCAGCTGTGTTGTCCTTATAGGAAGTCTAAGGGAATTTAACTGGGACTTTTTTTAAAATTAATGTTGCATGCTGTTTCTGTTTGGGTACTTGCTTCCAAGACATTTGGTAGGGCAATGCATTACTTAAAACTTCTTTTTTGCCACCAAAGCTTACTTATTGATCTTCTTTAAATGTCTGTTTTTATGTATCAGTGGTGCAAAACTATCTCAAATACATAATCCAAGAAGAGATTTTGCATTGACAAAGCAATCCCTGATTACAGCTGTCCTAAATGTACATTTTGTCAATATTGTATAGGTAAAAATTAGAGCATGCTTGCATTGGCTCCAATTTTCATATCCCAAATCATTTTGATATAACTTCTTTGCAGGGAAAAGGGAACCAACTGATGCTAAGTGTTCTTGACATTTTAAAACTTTGCTATCTCTATAGATTTCTAATAGTAGATCATATTTCTGTCCCAAACAGCTTTTTGGTGTGAACCAGAAATAACGTATCCATACAATTGGAGTGCCCTATTTACTCCTTTCATATTTTTCTGTGCCTTGTTTCAATCAGAAAAATATAAAAACACTTCAATTGGTTTATCTTACTTGGGAGCCAATTTGGTGTAGTGGTTAAAGACTCAAGGCTAGAAATTGGGTGATTAACAGCTATAACTAGGTCAATAAAATGAGGACCCAGATTATTGAGGGCAATATGCTGATTCTGTAAACTGCTTAGAGAGGACTGTAAAGCACTGAAAAGTGGCATATAAGACTAGTGTTATTGCTATGGCTATAACTGTTAAGAAAGTTGGAAGGAATCTTAGAGGTCATCTAGTCCAACCTCCTGCATGAGCAGGAGACCCTATATCATTCTAGTGGCTGTCCAATGGCTTCCTAAAAGCCTCCAATGATGGAGCACCCACAACTTGAGGCAAGTCATTCCACTGCTTTATTGTTCTCAGTGTCAGGAAATTTCTCCTTAGTTCTAGGTTGGTTCTCTCCTTAATTAGTTTCTATCCATTGCTTCTAGTCCTGTCTTCAGGTGCTTTGGAAAATAGGTTGACTCCCTCATCTTTGCAGCAACCCCTCAAAGATAGGAACACTGCTATCATGTCTCCTCCCCTAGTCCTGCTTTTCACTAGATTAGACATACCCAATTCCTGCAACCATTCTTCATATGTTTTAGCCTATAATTGTTTTTGTTGCTCTTCTCTGCCCTCTTTCCAGAATCTCAACATCTTTTTTAGATTGTGATGACCAAAACTGGATGCAGTATTCCAAGCGTGGTCACAAAATGTTGCCAAGAAAACTGCATGGATTAGTCCAGGTGGTCAGCAGGAGTCAAGATTGATTTTTTTTATATCACTTAGGGAAAAAGCCAAGTGGAATTAGCAGAATGCTCAGGGGAGGTTATAATTAATTTGTAGTTCTGGCTTCACATTACAACAAGGGTGTTTAGATTTTCAACACTGCTACATTTTTTAAATCAGTGTTTTCACTCCCAGTATTGAGTTCCTAGGAAGATCAATTCAAATGGCAGCAATATCACATCAAGGTAAATTTAAAAACAACAATGCCCTTTTAAAAAGTCTTAGTGTTCCTAATGGGTGATCATTTGTGTTCTTTGTCCACAGTTTTAATATACTGAATTATTCTTTGTTATTGATTACATCTAAAGACCCTTGGTCTATTGCCATAAGTAGCAGCCTGCAATTTAGAATCTATCTATGCATCCTTCCTTTTTAAAACGTGTGGCAAGGCTCCAGTTTAATAGGTGTTTAGAACTAGAGTAATTAATGTGAAATATCATATCCTCTAGCATTTCACAGATGAAAATAAGGACATTGTTATGTACTTGTAATGCCCCTGTTTTCACGCCAAGAACTGCAGCTCCCCAGCCTCACAATTACATGTTGCTGAAGGCCCTTTGCTAGCTGGATCTTATGCTCATTTACTTTTGCAGTAGTCAGACTTGCTTTAGTGTTTAAAAAAAACACCCAAAGAGCTTTTGTTCATTAAGCTAAAAGATGCATTGGAAAAACACAATTGTCCTCCACATTAGTGTCTGTTCAGCAGTTCATTGCTCCATGTGCAACATGACAAACTGTGCATTTCAAGGTGATTTTAGCTGCATTCATTCAACCTGTTCACCCAAGGTTAAAATTGAAGAGTAGAAATGAATGTGCATCTTGACCTTATTGCTGCAGACAATCAAGACTTCTGATGCATTATCAGACTAACCGATTCACATTTGCTAACATTTATTTTTTCCCATTAATATATGGTGTAAAGCTGGGAACTTGGAATGTTGTGTTCTGGGCACTGCTGTTGTCCAGGAGTATCATCCTAGGACATTCTAATGCTATCCAGGGAAATATGATCTCAACTCCTATTTATACACATAATTGATGGAGGATACCTTATTGAGCCAAGAACCTACAGGAAGAACCTCCAGGAAGAACTTAAAGTATGGAGAAACTTCCTAACAGTGAGATTAATCAGTGGAATGACTTGCCTCCAGAAGTTGTGGGTCCTTCATCACTGGAGGCCTTTAAGAAGAGACTGGACAGCCACTTGTCTGGAACGGCATTGGGTCTCCTGCTTGAGAAGGGATTGGACTAGAAAACCTCCAAGGACCCTTCCAATTCTGTTATTCTGAATGGGGGATAAATATGGTAGCCCTCACCTTTGGGAGGGCTGCTTCCAGGTAAACCCACCAGGTAGGCATCAGAGCCCATTTGGTTGAGGCTTCTTTCCAACCAAAGCTAGTCCTGTATGAAGATGAAAAGTAATGAAAGGAAGTGATGGAGAAGACTAAGCAAGCAGGAGAAGGTGTATACTTAGAGGATGTGAAGGATGCATGTAGTGACAGAATGCTCAAATTTTGATCCTGTTTTGTTGAACAGCAGGCACCTCCTTTCCAAAAACATTTAGCACGATGTTTCTCAACACTTGGCAACTTTTTTAGATGTGTAGACTTCAACTCCCAGAATTTCCTAGCTAGCCACCTCTTAAAGTTGCCAAGCTTGAGAAACACTGAACCGATTTGGACATACAGATTAAGGTGTCTGTTGGAACTTCCACAACACCCAAATTCTTTGTTGTTTTGAAAGGCCTGCCTGCCGTTGTGCAGGTGTAGATGTGCCTCTCTGGTTTTTCTTCAAACATTTATTATTCAAGTATGTTGGATGCCTCCTTGACTATTTGGATAACGTCACTTAATCTTCCAGGTTTAGCACCACTAAGGGCAGACCCAAACTGAAATAAAACCCTTTCGGGCTTAAAAGATCTTACAGATCAAAGGACTTCAAGGTCATTTATATGCTTATGCAGTATCATCACTCCTATTCTGGTTAATCAGCATCATCTACAAAGACATGCAGCATCTTCATTTTAATGTAAGTGTTGTTCCTCCTCCTAACCCATTCAAATCTGCCTGCAAAGTATAGACTTTTGTGGGGTTTTTTTCTTTTTCTTAAAAAAATAAAGAAAGAAACACGGCTCTTCTGCCAGTAGATTGCAATTTACATTATGCAAATAGGCATTATGCAATCAAGCCATTTTTACCGAAATCTGGCAAGGAAAGGCTGTTGATGAGACGCAAAAAAATAAAAAATAAATCCAGAGCCCTGATTCTTCCCCCTCCCGCTGCTCCCACCCACATTTCTGAAACGCTTGGAGGGGGAAACCTTTCCATTAAACTCCGAAAAGAGTCTAGTCAACTCAACCCTGAAGAGGTAAAATGGAGCCAGCATAGAGGATGAATGGATTCTGTGAGCTACTGAAGCTACTTTTTCAATTAATGGCTTTGTTTAATCATACCCCCTGTCCAGAGGAGGATTGTCTTACGGATAATTTCATTTGCCTAACGAGATTTTGCTAATTAAATCTCCTTTTGGTTGGTGTGACACTCTCTCTCCCTACAGGGATATGGGGAAACGTTAGTGAATCCTCTTCTCCCCACCCCAAGCTCACCCCACTGTTGGATAAATAAACCTTTCCATTTTCCTACAGAAGGAAAACAAAACTAAAACCAAATCAGAAATGCTTGTCTCCCAACAGCAACTGGGAAATTAATTAGCTTTCAAAGCTCCCAGAAATGATGCTTTGTTGTGTGCGAGGCAAGGGTGGGTAATACACTTCTGGCCTTCCAGCCAGCTTTAAAGCCAACCAGCTTTATTCAGCCTTCCCTCTGGTTTTCAAGCTTTCTGCTAAATCAAGGAGCTGCAGTTGTTTTGTCCACATTTTTTTCTCCTCTATGCGGAAGTGTGTCCCTGCAAATTCAGATCCTGGGTACAACCACTAACTCTGAAATGCTCTTCCAAACCAGGACCAGCATTGGATGCCAAGTGATTAACGCATCCCATAATTCTAAAATGATGCTGGAAGCTTGCTTCTTCTTCTAATAGTTTGTATGACACTGGAATTGCAATTGCCTGAATATTTCACTGACTCTCTGGACATCTTCTCCATTGCTCTCCTCCATTTCACAATTAAATCCTTTCAGAGCTGTTCTTCTGTTCAGTCAGGGCTAGCTGAAATGGAAATAACAAGCGCTATCAGTAATGACACATATTGCCAGTTGGCTCTGAGGACACCATCTTGGCCCAAGGTGTAGAAAGTTCATCCATACCCCATACTTTGTGGTTTATTGTGCTGGCCAGGAGTAGAGTAGAGCTTCTTCCTTACATTTGCGATAGGGCAAGCCCGACACGAGTTTACAGCTCTCTGGGACCACTTCCAGACCAGTTTTAATCTCTCTCCAAGTAAACCACGGCTTGGAGGCATGATGGATTTTTAATGGAAGCCTGGCCAGATTTCAAGCCTCTAAAAAAGGGGCTCATCAAAAGCCCATTTTACCCAGGGACCCCTCAAACCAAAAGCTGGCTCTGGTGCGTGAACAAGATGATTCATAATAAAGCTGGGTTCCAAATGGTGCAGATCCTTTTGAGGGGAAAACCAACTTTTTCCAGTGGAATTGGAAACTGGAAGAAAACAGGGAACCTCCTTCCAAATTGCAGGAATACATTGTCAGTTGATTGATTTGCTCTGCTGGCCATACACATTTTCTAGACTTTTTTTCAAAGGGAATGTTTCCCAGACTTTCTGAGTGACCAGCCAGTTTTTGTAAACAATATATTTCACAGGGTGCTTCTTGTGGGCACAAAAGTGAAGAAAACACTAGTAGAACATAAGTCAAATAATGACTGAACTACACAAGGTTTTTAAAAATGTCATATGTAGGTGGTCTTCCATTTTTTTCATTAATGTTAGTAGAAGCATGTGAGTGCTTGATAGAGATCAAGACTTTTCCACCAAAAGAAAAAGGCTATTCCTGCTACTTCCTACCCTGCCCATTGGATTTGCAAAATTCGGTTCCTATCTCTGACATGATAGTGGCTTAGAAAATTTTTAAAAATCCATTGGTGCTATGGAGAATGTCCTTATCTATTTTATAATTTCTTGAATTTTGCTTATGGAGGCAAATGTTTTGCCAGTCAAGGGCTTGAAAAGATATTGAGGAGGTTTAAGGCATGCACAGATGACCTTGCGCTTCTGCACACTTTCTCCTACTGTTCAAAAAGAAAATGGGACATACACAGCAACTTAATGTGGTGTATAATCTTATCCTTTGTTGAACTTTTTCTAAAGCCACAAGAGTAATTGGCCTCTCCCCCAAGTTCATGGTTGGAAGGGAAGCATAATGACAAGAATCTCACCTGTAAGTTGAAGGTATGGGGTCGGGAGGGAGTATCTCGACTGAATTGATTCTGCAGTATCTCAGTGATGTTGGGCACTTCACAATAATGAACAATATTTATGTCTCCCGACCAGTTCCTGCTGGTGTCAATGACAAATCCTTGATATGCTCTGTAGCAATTTGTGGCAATGTAAATCATAGCTAACAGTTTAATGAACTGTAGCTCTACTCCTTGAAGTTCTGCTCTTCCCTATGTGCTGTCCTCCTTTTAAATCAGTTCAGGGATACTTCACTTGCAGTGTGATTGGTGAAAAAATTGGCAAGATATAAAAGAGATCTCTCGTGAAGCCTGAACTGAGCCCTCTCTTCTTACATTTAGCCCATCATCAGAATCTTGTGCAGGAAAAAGAAACACAACGTGCCATTGTTCAGTCTATGAAATGAGGGCTCCAAACAATTATTTTCTTCAAGTTAGCCTTTGTGGGTGTGCGTGGGGTATTTAGCTGCTTGAGAACAAACTTCATATTTGAAATCCTTTTTCTACCTACCAAAAGTTTATTTTTCATTTATTTTTAAGCAGTGTGTTTTTTGTTTGTTTGTTTTGTTTTTAAAAGCTGTCTGCTTTTATTCTCTTTATTTGGTTGCTTGGTTGTTAGTTTTATACTCCATCTTTCCTTCTGGAAATCAAAGTGGTACCCACAGCATACCTGCCTCCCATTTTTCTCCACAACCTTTTATGGATTGGATTGAGTTTGGTTGGGTTGAGTTGAGTTGAATTGGGTTAGACAGAGAGATAATGATTATCCTACCTAAGGAATTTCTGTGCCTAAAAGTGGACTTGAACCTGAGACTTCCCCAATCTCTCCAACCACTGACAAAGAACATTGTAAAAAAATATACTCACCACCACAACAACAGCCAAATGTCTCCAGATAAGGCTAATGAAGTTCTCTAGAGCAACCACACCAAGACTCTTCTACTTGGGCCAGTTGATATATCCTTGAATCAAGAGCACTTGTTATATTTATTGATGCCAGATATTATCCCCAAATTTTCAACAATGAACAGGGAAAATACTTGCAGACAAGGCAGGAAGCTTGGGGAAACACTTGCAACTGGGGTTGCATTCAACAGCCCAGGGCATGTTTCTGCTAAAAGAAGACCAGTAGCCCCAGACAGAAAGTGTAGCTGAATTCTTTGCCTGCCTAATAAAAGCAGTTCTGCCCATGTCTGAGGTGCTACAAAATGCCTTCAGAAATGTATCTTAAGCTGTCCCAACAGGTGGCCAGAAATCTAATACTCCTGAGTTCCAGCCTTATTGAATCCACATTAGTGAGAAACATTTGGCCAGGAGCCCAGAATGCCACCCTGGGTATAGAGGTGGGGGATGTTGCAAGAGACGGAGGGCACAGCTCTGACACCAGTTCAGACTTTGTGAAACAGAAAAAACAAACAACAGGACCCATTAAGGGGAGGCGGTCCTGGCTTCCACTCCTGCCTCTTGAGCAATAGCACTGGTTGACTCCCAATTCCACAGGAAGCAAGAAAGGGAGGCCAAAATAATTGAGGCATCTTTGAGGAATTCCCCCAGAGGTCTGTAGGTTTGTAACCAAGATGTAGAGAATAAAATGCCTGTTCAGTTACAAGAACAGCCAAAAACCCACCAGAAAAATGACCATGCAGATGAGAAGGCATTTCTCCAAGATTCACTTGACGAAAAGCTTTACTATCCATTTAAACTAAAGTCTCGTAAGTTGGGCTGATTAGATCACATCTGCAATTGGAGCAGATGTGAGCGATCTGGAGAAGCGTACAGATTGAATGTTACCAGAATTTTGTCCCATCTGTTCTGACCCAGCCTTAGCAGAAACAAGAAACAAACTTCTTGTCAGGAAAAAACCCTCCTTATTTACCTCTCTAGTGAATTAATTGTATTCACCCACCAAAAAGTCCAGTCAGTAGTCCTTCAAGGAGTTAACTGCAGTAACAGTTCCTTGCGATAATTGCAAGGCTGAGAGCTTCCAGCCGAAAGGCTGCAAATTAAGTTCTGGCAAGCAGTCTTTGTGGCATGAAACACAATGAGCAAAATCTTCAGAAATACGAACTGTTGTCTCCTATGACAACCACTCCCCTTTCCTCCTATTTATTCCCCAGCCAGGGAGGGGCCATTCAGTGTCCACATATCCAATCCCAGTGGTGGGATTGAAAAATTTCAGCAACTGGTTCGCTCCCTGATTGCTGGGTGGGCGTGGCCATGGCAGCACGGCCTACTCGGCCTCCTGCACCATGGCAGTGGGGGACTGTCAGGTATGCTTCCTTCAAAATCCAGGAAAGAAAGACCCAACCTCCATATTTTATAGAGATTAGTACTTTTACTGAATATGAAATGATTGCAACCCAGGTAAAGCTGGAAGTGAGCAAAATGCGCGAAATAGCATCTAGATAGCATTTCCCCCCCTGTGTTCATCATCCATCATCCAATCCAAAGGTCTCCCAAAGGTCAGGTGGAATCTCATCTGCCAACGTCATCCATCAGGAATTTGAGACGGTTGGTCTAACGCCTCCTTTGGAGAATAAGTTTCGTTTCTTGGAAAGACACCTCCTGCGCTCTTCCCTCTCCTCGCCCTCCTGACTAGTTCCCCCCCTCCGTTTCTTATGGCAGCTGAAGCAGTGAAAGCGGAGGCTGACAGGGACATT